AAAAGCCACCCACCATCTGGCTCCATTCCCACATCGAGACATTTTTGAAATCGACACGAACGGCAGACATTTCGTCCAGCTGAAATGTGCATCGTAAATTCCGATGGTGTTTTGATGCTTGTGCCCCATTGTGTATGTGTGCGTGTGTCGACAAAGAGTGAGTGAGTGAGTCAGAAATGGTTGTTTTTCTCAAGCGTAGCCCGAGCGGTGCGATGCGTGAACAATGCTGAGCGGTTTAGTTAAATGAATCCAGAACAGCATAAATCCGATAAAGAAGATATGATAATATTGCAACCAAAGATGAAGGACTGAGAAGTGTAATAAGCAGCGATGACGAAACGACTTTGATCTATGATCGTTAAGTTCAAATTTGCGCGAGGAGATAACGGAGAGGTCGAAGAACAGGACGCGCAGCTGCAGACGAAGAGTCACTGCAGCTATGCAAAAGGCAAAGAACCAAGCCATCGGTTTCGGAGAAAAAGACTTGGGGGTATGTACGATCTTTGCAGGACCTGACTAATATCGCACACAACATGATGTGGAAGAGAATATCGAGCACCACTTACCTTTGTCGATGCGACATTTCTGATCATAACGACAAATGTAATTCTTCCCAGCACGTACCTAAAATGAAATAGGTCTTGCTTGCTGCTGGGAGGCTCTGGTAACTCACGGTTCTCCGAAAAAATCCTTTGCAACCAAAGCAGGCAACGACGCCGTAATGCCGCCCGCTGGCTTCATCACAACATACCGAGCTGCAAACAGCATTTATTGGTGAAGAAAAAAGCAATATCCCTCGATCGTAAATCATACGTCTCACTCATTCGTCACATTTAGTATTAGCCCTGGTCAATAGAAGGTTAGAATGCATATCGTATGTACTGTGGATCCTTCTACTGTTTCGCGCTGTTGGTTCCCACGCACATGGTCCCATCGCTGAGTTCAACGTTTACCCTTGACAGGCTGGCTATTACTGAAGACGGCGGCAGACGGCGCAGTGCGGTCGCGCAGAGATCTTATCGCCCACCTGAGGTCATCCGTCCATTACACTCATCTGATCTCAATAACGTTACTAAACGACTTATGAGAAACCCTGCATGAGTACCACAAGCGGACTGTCTTT